AGAAAAACATACAGGGTGTTCCATTTAAAAAAACCGACTTACGAAGGTTTGAAGTTAACTAAACTCGGCATTAAATTTCTAGCACCCTGTACGCAATTAAGCCACTTTGAAAGTATGGATGGGAAGCTTAGGGGTCTGGCTATCCCCCCTATAAATATTGCTGCTTTATCTTTCTTACTATAAAACACATGGTTTGTCTCAATTTTTTTGGAAAAAATTAAATATCTCGAAAACGGTTAATTTTAGGAATAGGGAAACTTCATAAAAGTCCACCTAAAATAACACGTAGAATCCAAAATTGCAATAATATATAGGGTGTTCCATTTAAAAGAAGCAAGTTGATGGCGACTTCCGGTAGAACCGGAAGTGGTACGTGGACGTCATTATTTTAGTTGAGAAGGGCATGCCCAAAAACCCGGTGTCCCAAATTTTCAAAATTCAAATCGAAGTAGTCTCTGAAATAATTCTAATGGCCCGTCACCGTGAGACACTCTGTATAAAGGTTCACCATTATCCTATCCATTGCCACCCCCGTAATCGTGAAATGTTCAAATCACTTCCAAAAGACAGAGAAAGGCCCAACCAACAAAACTACACTAAAATTCCTCCGATCCGAATACTCCTGCGCCCAGCAATAGCTGTGTCCCCGGATAGGGTCTTATAAACTTTTTTTATTGTTGATTTTTCGTGAAAAAGTTATTCTTTAAAAAACTTTTGTTTATCATGGGCAGCCATGGGCCATAAAACATACAGGGCGTCCAAAACATTTCAAACAAACATTAAAAGCACTTTGCTTGGGGAAAATTTCACATTTTGAAATATTTTGGTCACCCTGTATGTTTTATTACATATTTGATTACTGCCCATGGCTTCCCAAGATGAGCAAAACTTTTTATCAAGAATAACTTTTTCTCGAAAAATCAACAATAAAAAAAGTTTACGAGAGTGTATTTTGAATTTGAAAATTTCATACAAGAGTAAATAATCACTCATTTTCGATCATTTCTAGAGAATTACTTTTACAAGTCATTTGAATTCCGATCACCACGTACTTCGGATCTAAACCCTATTGAGAATTAGCGTAGCACGCCACACTTGCCCGGCAACCAAATCCAGAGCCTTAAATCAATTAGAAGAGCCGGCTAACGCCTTACGCACGCCGAATAGTCCCATCTAACACGCCACTTTCTGTGCCCATAAATAACGTTTTCATTAATCATTCCGTGCCCGAGATAATGATACGGTAATTGTAAATTATGGAATTAATTATAATCGAATGCCAACCGCAAAAATATATGGCCTGTCCCCCGTGGTATTAATTTGGAATTATTTCGACGGAGTGAGAATTACTTCCTGTCTGTCGAAATGTGAGTGTGTGTTAATGGTTTTTTTTTCGAGAGGTAGTACGGTTCGTTCAAGTTTGGACGGCGTGGTCAGGTCTGTGTCCCTGAAGCGAGAGGTTTGTTTGCAATTTTCGCGATAGCCGAGTGTTAACTGAACGTAAATGCAATAATTAATGCTGCGAAGTGGAGCTATTTTGTGGCTGTTGGTGTTAATTTATTGCGACAAATGCATGTCTGGTGGTTTTACTGTCAAACTTCATTCCTTCCTACACGATTTTTATGTTCTAGTTCCTATTCAGTTTTAATGTACCTACGTACAAATTAAGGAGGTGATTGCTCGTTGAAAATTAAAGAGGAACTTTCGTGTAAAAAAAATCTCACCGCCTACTCCCTGCCGATTTATGACACTTCAAATGGATAGAGAGTAATTTAGTTTTTATTTTTTTTCTCCTTAACGAAAGAGAAAGTTACCAAAATGAAATTACTATTACCAAAAAAACATTTACTGGATAATTTCTTGATCTCCCTTTTGGACTGAAAAACTTCCCCGCAAATAATTTCCTGAGCAGTTTCTTTCTATCGCCAATATAGTCATTTAAAAATTCGTTCTATATAGCTTGTTTTACTTAAAACAAATTTGATCTTTAGTTTTATCCTAAATAAATAGTTTTTAAGTAAAAAAATTAAACACAGAATTTTGCTGCATGGGCAAATCATAAAATACGTAACAAACGTTGGATATGACCAGCTCATACCATTACAGACTAGTCTGCGTCGAATCTGATACACGTATTTGGTTAAACATTTCTCGAGCATTTTGAATTACCTCACATTCTTATGCACCGAAGTTTATAAATGGGGAAAGGAAAAAATTATACTTGTGGGGAAAGCTTTCAATCCAAAAGATAGATCAAGAAATTCATCCAGTAAATATATTTAATTTTCAAAGAGAAATTACAAAAATTTGTTTTATATTTATTTATTTACAACTTATATATTATTTTACAATCCCCTGTCATCATATTGCATTATAATTACAATACATTTTTTTGAGTGTTTTATTTCTCCTATTCTCCTAAAAGCAATTTACTTCGATTTTTACGCGAAAATGTAACATTTATGCGCAAGTATAAGGATGCCAAATTTCATTTAAAAGGAACAAAGCGTCTTAATTATTTGAGAAAATTAGCAGAGTAAAATTTTGTGTTGTGTCAATTCATTTAATCACCCTGTATAGTACCAATGTTTCTTTGAATTATTGTTTTACATTTTAACAAGTTAATTTGTTATGTGTTATATAATATATGCTCAAAAATACTTTAAAATTGCATTTCTTAGATATAGAGATATTTCTTTTAGTGAACGAAACAGGAAAATTCGACATAAAAACACTTAATTTAACGACTAATTTCAAACCATTACAATGTTAAAAAATTTAATTTTTAATTCGAAATAGCGCTGTTAATACGATTTTTATAAACGTCACAGTTTTTACCGCACTCGATTTGGATTATAAAATCATATCACGAGAAACGGCAATCTATTTGTCGACCTTGACCAAATAATGGTCGCAAATTACACAATTTTCCTAGTTAGACTTTCAAAGTCCTGGCAGCGATTAAAAAATTTAATTACGCGATAACAGTTTGAAAATTGATTGTTTATGTTGAATTTTTTAGACTAAAATTTGGTATACCACTAAAGTAGATTTTACTCAGAGAAAAATACAAAAATATAATCTAGGGAAATTTAGAACTAGTTTTAGATCTGCCAAGTTTTTACCCAAAAAATTGGCCAAGTTATATTGGCATGTATATAAAACATAATTGTGATAAATTTTCTAATTTCAATAAATTGGACCAGAAATTGGAGACAATAGAATTTGGTACCAATTTATTGGTCAATTTTTAGTGACTTGGTTTTTCACAATTTTTTCTGCTTTAAACATTTAAAGAATAGATTGCATAGGTGTTTGTTATTCACTCGTTCAAGATAGGCTTTATTCTAAAAATTGGTGTTGATAGCGTTTTTGACAAATCCATTCGAAAGTTTATTGTATGTAAAATTGTGACAATTTCTTGGCCAACTTGTTGAACAATTTATTGAGTACATGTAAGATTTTTACAAAATTATAGACCTCCTTTTTTAAACTAATTGCAAATAATTCATTAGTTTGTCTAATTTGATTACTTTGTTTATTTACATAGATGGTTTTTGAATTTTGAAATTTATAATTTGTTAGTTATAGAAGTAAATATTTAACAATTCAGAAAAATTGAAAGAAAAATATGTTTTCTCGAAGCAAAAAACATTTCTAAACTTACTGCAGTATGAAAATAAGGTACTTTAACAAAATTTATACAGGGTGTTTATTAAGTACTTGTACAAAACTTTAAAGGGTGAATCTGACTAATTTTAAGATAAACAATTCATATGAACATGGGCCCATAACTGCTTGGTTCTTGAGATATAGGGCGTCCAAAAAAATGTTGTTTTGCAATTATTGTAAATGTTATTAAGTTATTTGTATAAGTAATTTAGTCTTAGTGTTGTAAATGATCTAAGTTCGTCACATCGCAATACAATCGATAAAAGACACATTTTTCACTTGTTTTTCAAAAACTCTTAATGATTCAACTTACAAAATTCCAATTTAAACCCGTTATTTTACAAAACGGCTGCTTTCAGCGACAAATACTAAGAGTACCTTTGGTACGTAAAATTGAATGGAGAACCATGGTCATATGAACTTTTTATTTTAAAATTAGTCAAAGATTTACCCTTTCATCCTGTATATTCTGGATCGGAATGCCTTCAAATTTGTAGAACTCAAACATTAATTAACAAAAGGTTAATGATTAATACAGTATTTTATTTAAAACAATAAAAAGAAACAACATCTTAATTTTGCCATTTCGCCAGAGTAAACAACGCAAAGGAACAAAATTCCCGTTCTCTATAAAAAACATTTAAAGGGTTTTTAAGCAAATTTAAGTATAAAAACAAACTGAAAATCGAGCTCAAAAAAAACATTTTGCAAACTCACTTTAAAGATCTTCAGATTCTATGCCTGATACATACATTTTAGACATATTTAGAAAATGCGGAAATTATCTGATTTTTTAAATTAAAATACATTCTGTAGATTATTTTTTGTGTAATATATTTGGTTTTACTGGGGCTTCAACCTTTTATATCTTAGATTTTAATAATAAAAGTAAAATTTTTCCCTTTTGCCCAATTTTTCTGGGAAAGATTTATAAACATTTTTTTTTCGAAATTAATTTTTTCATAAATTATAGACCTCTATGTAGCAGAAAGACTTAAAGAAGGCAAATTTATAAGCAATTCGTGTTAGTATCCCTTTTACAACCAAATCTTCCTATATTTTCGCAGTCTTCTCCGAATCTACGTTACGCATAACCCCATCAACCAACAACGTACATATTTTACAAGACACTGCGTCAAACTTTCACAACCAGAAGCCCCAAACATAAATATTCAGCCTCACCGGGGCCGCCTATCGCTTTTATCACCCGTCGAAAAACTGGGACACACTATATGTGTAATAACAAGTGAGGCAACGTCGCGGACAGCCCTGGTTTTACACGCGGACACTTCCCGTTGTTCCGCCCCCATCAAAAACCGCCGTCTTACCTTTGAAATCCGAACTGGAACCGTGGGTTTAGCTGTCGACGGTCCCTCGGAAGGCACAATTGTCCGAACGCGATCGACAAACGTCAAAACGTGCACTGAGTCGCGGTCTGCCGCGATTTTGTGAAAGCGAAAATGTGACTGTCGCCCATTCCAAAGCCGAGTGTGCAGTTGGCACGCTGGACCCCACTCGCTGCGTTCAATAAACACCTACTCTTACCTTATGCTAATAGTGCCCAAGAAATGTGTAATAGTGGAATACATACGGATACATTCACGGCAGGCCGCTGGAATTTGTTATAGTTTATGCGCTAGGCGTGAGGTTCATTCAGTCCTGCTCTCTTTCATCCGGGTAGGCCGGGATGGCCCGGTTTTTTTAGCCCCCCTTGCCGTGATGTTCGGCACTCATCCGAATGTCTCGAACAAGTCAGATTTTTCGTCGAAAATAAACTTGGAACAACACGGTTTCAAGTGAATAACAGAAAGAAAAGAAACAAGTTAATCGTTTTTTCTTACTGTTTGATGGTATTTTGCCACCTGTGGGAAAATTAAAACAGTTATTTTTTGTTTGAGGTTGAGAAATGTCGCCTTTGTTCTCAAGAATGAAGAGTTTTTTGAGAGCAACAAATTATTCCAGAAAGCGTAGCGGCTTCTCAATAGTAATATCAAGCAATATTTTTGTCAAAACTGCTTCGAATTGACGGAAAAGGTAGTAAAGACTTCCACATTTGCGATAAATTAATTTAACGTTTATCGTGCCACTTAACACTACTGCTGCCGATATCTCCGAAATGAAGAAATTTATTTTCGTTTCAGAAATTAGGGTTGTTAGATCCCTCGAATAGCTTCAAATTGTAGTAAATCTTATAAGGGGCAGAGACGAACCGTATTTTATCAAATGTTATTAAAAAATGCAGTCATAGGTGGCTCATGTCATTTGTTTAAAACGAAACAATGACAGATGACACATATTAGTTTTCCAATAATTACAGTTTTATCAGTTTGCGTCTTTCAATTTAACTATACGAGTTATACGATTTACCATTGTACAATTTTTTTCCTGTAGTTGATCATTTGTGTTTGTATAATTTATTGTTTGTTACTTAGTATGTGGTGTGAATAAAGTCATTATAACAATATTTTAAAAGAATAATTTGTCTCGTTGTGATTTAGATAAAATAATAGATTTTCCTGTTATATTGCATATCAGCTTTTATTTTCTTTAACAAAAACGGTTTAACTTAGAAAGTTGAATGTTGGTACACGTTAACAACTAGTTGAATTGTATTTTTTGGTAATCTTTTTTTCTGGTTTATGTCTTTGAATGAAAGAAATTAGCACCCCTTGGTTGTATTTCTCTCACAATTTTTTTCTACGTTAGCTAATTCCAACAAGAAAAATAACTTTTAATACTACATTTCATTAAAAAACTTTTTACTTTTCCCATTTTTTCGTATACTTAATGGTTAACGAGCCCCATGTATGCCTATGGTGTTTAAAAATCCCATATACTTTTTTAATCTGTCAATTTAATCTGCAAAGTCTGTTTTTTTGTNGATATTTTTTGTTCGAGGTTGAGAAATGTCGCCTTTGTTCTCAAGAATGGAGAGTTTTTTGAGAGCAACAAATTATTCCAGAAAGCGTAGCGGCTTCTCAATAGTAATATCAAGTAATATTTTTGTCAAAACTGCTTCGAATTGACGGAAAAGGTAGTAAAGACTTCGACATTTGCGAAAAATTAATTTAACGTTTATCGTAAAAGGACAGGGTGTGCCACTTAACACTACTGCTGCCCATATCTCCGAAATTAAGAAATTTATTTTAGTTTCAGAAATTGGGGTTGTTAGATCCCTCGAATAGCTTCAAATTGTAGTTAGAAGTGTCATCATTAAGCATAAATAAATTTAGATCTTTCATAAAAAGTAGGTTATTTGCTGAGCAGAATTTAATATAAAATATTTGACTCTCCCCTACCTCCATCGGTTTACTGAAAGATGTTTTTTTTTCTTATTATTTATTTTTTATTCTGTATTTTTTGGAATATTTATGAATCCTGTGTCATTTTTTATTTTGTCGTAGTTTATATATTTGTATCATCCTGTTTTTGTAGTATGTAGTATGTTTCCTCAGTTTGACAAATGTATAAATGCTAAATGGAAGCAAGGGTTAAGTGGTAGAGCACACGTAGTGTGAACTTCCCCTTGAGATTTCCAATATAATATTTTGTTTTTTTTTTCATATCTTGTTACATGTTCTTTTATTATCAATTATTAGCTCAAATCTTTCTGTATAGATGGCGTGGCGATACTAAAAAATGTTTTGTTCCCGTGGAAATGCAGTCCATCTGAAAGATCGTTAAATTTTGAGTAATTTTTGTAATATTAAGTTTCCCTATATTTACTTGTTTTCGAGATATGTCGACTTCAATATGCAATGTATGATATAACAGGAAAATCTATTATTTTATCTAAATCATATCGAGACAAAATATTCTTTTAAAATATTGTTATAATGACTTTATTCACACCACATACTAAGTAACAAACAATAAATTATAAAAAAACGAATGATCAACTACAGAAAAAAAAATCGTACGGTAAATCGTATAACTAGTAAATCATATAACGAACGTTCAAATAAAAACGTGGTCAATTTGGTTCTGAAAATTTGGACGTAGGGCGTAGCGTATAGCAAATGAACTTAAACGTCATCTGTCAAAGCGCTATAACGCCGCTATCAATTTGAATATTTTCATTTTAAACGCTTTTTAAAACGAAAATATTCAAATTGATAGCGGCGATATAGCGCTTTGACAGATGACGTTTANTTCAACCTTTTATATCTTAGATTTTAATAATAAAAGTAAAATTTTTCCCTTTTGCCCAATTTTTCTGGGAAAGATTTATAAACATTTTTTTTTCGAAATTAATTTTTTCATAAATTATAGACCTCTATGTAGCAGACAGACTTAAAGAAGGCAAATTTATAAGCAATTCGTGTTAATATCCCTTTTACAACCAAATCTTCCTATTTTTTCGCAGTCTTCTACGAATCTACGTTACGCATAACCCCATCAACCAACAACGTACATATTTTACAAGACACTGCGTCAAACTTTCACAACCAGAAGCCCCAAACATAAATATTCAGCCTCACCGGGGCCGCCTATCGCTTTTATCACCCGTCGAAAAACTGGGACACACTATATGTGTAATAACAAGTGAGGCAACGTCGCGGACAGCCCTGGTTTTACACGCGGACACTTCCCGTTGTTCCGCCCCCATCAAAAACCGCCGTCTTACCTTTGAAATCCGAACTGGAACCGTGGGTTTAGCTGTCGACGGTCCCTCGGAAGGCACAATTGTCCGAACGCGATCGACAAACGTCAAAACGTGCACTGAGTCGCGGTCTGCCGCGATTTTGTGAAAGCGAAAATGTGACTGTCGCCCATTCCAAAGCCGAGTGTGCAGTTGGCACGCTGGACCCCACTCGCTGCGTTCAATAAACACCTACTCTTACCTTATGCTAATAGTGCCCAAGAAATGTGTAATAGTGGAATACATACGGATACATTCACGGCAGGCCGCTGGAATTTGTTATAGTTTATGCGCTAGGCGTGAGGTTCATTCAGTCCTGCTCTCTTTCATCCGGGTAGGCCGGGATGGCCCGGTTTTTTTAGCCCCCCTTGCCGTGATGTTCGGCACTCATCCGAATGTCTCGAACAAGTCAGATTTTTCGTCGAAAATAAACTTGGAACAACACGGTTTCAAGTGAATAACAGAAAGAAAAGAAACAAGTTAATCGTTTTTTCTTACTGTTTGATGGTATTTTGCCACCTGTGGGAAAATTAAAACAGTTATTTTTTGTTTGAGGTTGAGAAATGTCGCCTTTGTTCTCAAGAATGAAGAGTTTTTTGAGAGCAACAAATTATTCCAGAAAGCGTAGCGGCTTCTCAATAGTAATATCAAGCAATATTTTTGTCAAAACTGCTTCGAATTGACGGAAAAGGTAGTAAAGACTTCCACATTTGCGATAAATTAATTTAACGTTTATCGTGCCACTTAACACTACTGCTGCCGATATCTCCGAAATGAAGAAATTTATTTTCGTTTCAGAAATTAGGGTTGTTAGATCCCTCGAATAGCTTCAAATTGTAGTAAATCTTATAAGGGGCAGAGACGAACCGTATTTTATCAAATGTTATTAAAAAATGCAGTCATAGGTGGCTCATGTCATTTGTTTAAAACGAAACAATGACAGATGACACATATTAGTTTTCCAATAATTACAGTTTTATCAGTTTGCGTCTTTCAATTTAACTATACGAGTTATACGATTTACCATTGTACAATTTTTTTCCTGTAGTTGATCATTTGTGTTTGTATAATTTATTGTTTGTTACTTAGTATGTGGTGTGAATAAAGTCATTATAACAATATTTTAAAAGAATAATTTGTCTCGTTGTGATTTAGATAAAATAATAGATTTTCCTGTTATATTGCATATCAGCTTTTATTTTCTTTAACAAAAACGGTTTAACTTAGAAAGTTGAATGTTGGTACACGTTAACAACTAGTTGAATTGTATTTTTTGGTAATCTTTTTTTCTGGTTTATGTCTTTGAATGAAAGAAATTAGCACCCCTTGGTTGTATTTCTCTCACAATTTTTTTCTACGTTAGCTAATTCCAACAAGAAAAATAACTTTTAATACTACATTTCATTAAAAAACTTTTTACTTTTCCCATTTTTTCGTATACTTAATGGTTAACGAGCCCCATGTATGCCTATGGTGTTTAAAAATCCCATATACTTTTTTAATCTGTCAATTTAATCTGCAAAGTCTGTTTTTTTGTTAGAGTGGTATTATTTTTTGTAACTGTGGACGTTTAGATCGTTATTGTTTGAATATTGTTGTGATATTGGTTAGTCAAAATGAAGATTTACCCAAAAGAGAAGCGGTTGATATGATTATTATCCTATGAGAATATTATAAGAATCGTTTATTTGCTTCTCGAGTTTATGCTCAAAGGTTTCCCGTAAAAAATCATCCTAACCGCGCCGTTTTTGAGAGATTATTACACCTGTATCAGGAAGGGAAGACGATGAAAATATTTTTACGGTAC